AAACAAAGAAAAAATAAAAACGATCAGTAGGCTATGGGATAGTTGAGCGGTCAATGACCATCCATCAAGGAGCTCTCAGAAGCGTACCATTAATTCTTTTACTATTTCTTGAATGGGTCCAGCTGCTTTACTCTGGGTTAGATTCTTGGAATATGAAAGCTAAAGATAAGTTATTTGATCTGGAAAAGGGAAGTCGGGAAAGTAATGAGAAAAAGGCGAATAAATGAGAAAGTGTGCCTTCGATAAATAAATTCTGAATATTTATAAAATAATTTCCAGTCGGGCAGTGTTAAACCCAATAAAAAGTGTTAATACAACAATCATTCGCAACGTAACTGCAATTCGAACACGCTACAATCAAGCATCCACAACTGTAGCTGCTACTCCCCAGATGGCCAATATTCAAGAAATTTCGAAGGATACCCAGCCTGGAGTTGTCCAGGAGTGACAGAAGAACAAAATTTCCGAGGAAAATGAATTGGACGTGAAAGAATCTTTTTAAAAAAATTTCTGAGCTTTATATTAGCGTAGTTCACGATCGGTTAACCGAACAGGAACCGAAAACCCATGTTTGGAGGTCGAAAACGGGTACACCCCGATATACCGCGAGCTCAGTATATCGCTGAGTTATATCTTTTTTCAAAATTGTCGAATCCGGGATGACTTGGTGCGCCTCGACAAGCTGAATCATACTATAACAAGGCATCTCGGATTCGACAATTTTGAACGAAGTTAAGTTTTCTTTGAGGTATACTGGGCTCGATGTATAAGCCTGCCTCGGTTGAAAACCTGTCCATACCAAAAATCGAGAGTACACGTTTATAAGACGTAGTGAACAACCCTACTTATTACCACAAAATCTTTTTTTCTGAAATTCTGTTTAGATTTTTAATCTGAATATAAAAGTACACATTTTTATGAAGTTAATTTCTATAAAAAATAAAAAATGGAAGAAAAATATCAAGAAAATTGAATTAATTCATCATATGTTTATATCGTATTTGTTTAAAAAACACAAAATTTAATTTAAATTAAAAAAAAATATTTTTTTAAAAATTAAATTAACAATTTTTAATAAACAAAAACTTTGGTTAGTTTAATTATAAGGTAAAAGTACCTACTAATTTAATTTTACCTTTATTTTAAAAAATAAATAATACATAATTAAATTTATTTTTGTTAGTTTAATTGGAATTCTCAACTTTTTTATACGATAATAAAATTAATTCATAGTCTTGATGTTTATACTTATGTCAAGAAAAATTTTTTATTTAAATGTTGAGTATCTGGTTTTCAGAGTTATTTTAATTTTTATTTTAAAATTAATATTGTAAGAAGGATCCAGCTGGCTAGCATTTAAAACGCTCACTAGAAGTAAAAAACGCTCACTCCTCTTCTATTAAAAGAGAAGGAGTGTCTCGGTAGCTCAGTCGGTAGAGTGTTAAAGCCCCCCGGATTAATCTTTAACCTCGTGTTTCCCGAAGAATCTGAAAAATGCTTCTAAAAATGTGTTTTCTGATGATAATATCCATAGATTTTCCCGTAAACTTATATGTATTGGCGAAATTCCAAAAATAATTGCTATATAAAATTCAAGAACTGATTTTGTATTTGCCTGAAATTTTGAATAATGCTCCTCTCAAAAATAAAATTTATAGACCTTTAGGAAAATTCCGGAAAATATACATACTTCCGGAAAATATAAGCCATTGAAAAATTTATTTACATAGTTAAAGATTAAAAAAACGCAAAACGCAAGGCACAATATTAAAATTTAAAAAATAAAATATTTCAACATATTTTTAGAAATTCAAAAATTATGTCGGATAATTCCACAAATTCTACACCAATTGTATTTCCTTTTCCGGATTATATTGTGTACATAGAATACGTGCAAAACTGGATTACGTTGATATGTCATTTTATTACGGTACGAAAAAATTCAAAAAATAAATTCAAAAATACTTTAAGGTATCAACAATGTGTCCTATTCTAATCGCCATCAAGTTTGGCAAGGGTTTACGAATTAAAGAGCTTTCGCCTGGATTGCGTCTCTTTTTCTGCTCCCATGTCATATTCTCGATACTTGGAATACCCTATCAGCTCTATCGAATATTATTTTGGATCAGTCCAAGTCGCGAAACAATAGCTAATAATTACGGGAATCAATACTCCCCATATCTTCTTTTCTGGCTTTCAATGCCCGAATTTGTCTTCTACGGGGCAATTCCTTCAGTTGTGCTACTCTTGACAGTAGAAAGATGTATAGCCCTAAAAATCGCTTTAACATGGGTCAGCAAAATATATCGATGGATCAGTCTCGCAGTTTTTATGGCCATTGTTGGGGTGAATATGCTAGGACATTTGCTTGAACTACCCCTGTTTGATGATAATCCGGAATTGAGTAAGTTATTTTATTTTTGTTGAAATAGTAGAGGAATAGGAGAGAATACAGAGGTTCCGGAACTTATCCGGAATATAAATTCCGGAAAAGTATCGGGAATATTAATATAATTCCGGAAATGTAATATTAATCCGGAATTGCAATATTAATTCCGGAAATGTAATACAGATTCCGGAAAAGAATCCGGAATATTAATATTAATTCCGGAATTGTAATACAAATTCCGGAACAGAGAAGCTATAAATTGCTGCTTCCGGAAACCTTTATAATTAAAATAGTCGTAATATTATTTTTCCGGAAAATACATAATTCTATTAATTCTTTCCGGAAATTTATGATATAAAATGTATTGTTTTTCCGTAAAGAAATATTCCGGAAAATAATTCTATACCCTACATTTTCCGGAAAATTATAGTAAAATGTATTCTATGAATATTCCGGAAAACACGAAAACTCCCATGGAATAATTGTATTTTCCGGAAGTTTATTTTTATAGACTCTTAATATTATTCATTATAGTCCCTATATGCGAAACAGCAAGTTGCACAACCACAAACTGGCGTTTATATTTTCAACTTACTTCAAGAATTGTTTTGAGTAGCGCTAATGTTGTGATGTCTATTGTATTTTTGTTGTTGTTGCATCAGACTGGGGCCGCCAAAAAATTGGTGGGGAAAAAATAAAAATTAATTAAATAAATAAAATTAATTTCTTTTAGAAGAATCGGGTCATTTTGTTTACTCTTTTTGTTGAATTTGCTCTAGGAGTTGTGCCAACATTTACAGCCATAATTTTTAATAAGGTAAAAAGAGTTGTGAATTTGTTGAAATTTTGAATAAAGATTCATAGGAAAAATAATGAGGACTATATATGAATGAAGCGGGTAATTTATAGGGCTAAGCATGAGGTCAGAATATGGGTATTGGATGATTAAGCAGATAGTAAGATCATTTTCAAGCAAGGATCGGCACAGGGACTTTATTCAACCCGATACCCGACTCGACCTTTTTCCCTACCCGGCAGAGGTCGACGGAAATGACGAAGGTGTCGGAACTGTCGGAAATTGGAAATTGTTCAAAAGTCGGAACTTGGAAATTAGCTCAAATTTTCGAAATCTGAGATTGGAATTCCAATCGACCTTGCTACCCTGCTCATCCCTGGTTTTTGATTACCATTTTTAATTTTAAAAATAATATTCCAGTCTTAGTTTTAAAATAATTCTATTAAGTACACAAGTATGTATATTGGAGGTGTTCCCAATGCTGGAGAGAAGGGAGAGATTGTCATTCTACTTACTGCTGTAGATTCTGCCCTGTGTGGAATTTTGTATATGGCATTATTGCTTAAATGCAATGCTTCCCAAACAGTTGTCTCAACAATACATGCTAGAAATATTGAGAGGACTAAAATTGAAGTTCAGAATACTACAGTTCAACGAGGGCCGTTGATGAATAATAATTTTATTAATAAACAAACTTAGAGAAAAATTAATTTTTTTTATTATTTTGTATTGAAAGAATTTTTTTTTGATTTTTTGGATAGACCTAAAGGTCGTGAAAGGGAGAAGAAGCTTGTTCATACCCTAGAATAAAAACCCGATCTTCAAAACAGTTAATTATTTAAAGATCGGAGGAAGCTTCTCCTGAAGCTTCTCCATCTCTCTTCTCTTCTTCTCAAATTCAAAACAGTTACTCATTTGAAATTTGTAGTTGAAATTTTCATAAATACATAATGGTAGATTATCGTACTATTTTATTTTTAACGAGAGGCGTTGCTGAATGATAATTTTATTAATAAACAGATTTTGCGGAAATTAATTTTCTATTACTTTCCTCAAAATTTTTGGCTGCAGTGATGAAGATAAGAACAAATTGGCTTTGACTTTCCTAAAATCTAAAGATTTTTGCCTGCGGTGCTTTTCGTACCCATCCATTCTCCGAATTTTAATGCACCTCTATCTTAAAGGGGCATCAAAGGCCATCTTTCTATCTATTTTATTAAATTTTTTTAAAATGAGTAGAAATAATAAAAATTCGAAAAAATTAAAAAAATTGGCTTTGGCCTTCAAAAATTTTACAAAATTTTTGCTTGCGACACTAAAAATGAAGACTTACAATTTAGAAAATTTTATAGAGGCTTAAAAAAAATTATTATTAATTTTTACCTTTAAATCCTGACAATACCAAAAAATTGCCTATAAATTCATGACTCATTTTATGGCAAAATTTAATGTTCGGTTCTTTGTATTAATTTTAAAAAATCGAAAAACAGCCATAAAATAACACAAAAGTTCAATTTATTTTTATTTTCAAAGCTCTTAGTAAACAAACAATAAAAATTCCCAAACTTCAAAAATTATTTTTAAAAAATATTTATGATTCATAAACCCATTTTTACCTCTTTTGTCAACTCTAAAGTTGGAAAAAAACGTGGAATTATTTAAATATTATGTAAAGCTTGGTGACTAATAAAAAAGTTATTTGGGGGTTTTCAAACTACAATGGAAGGGTATTTAAACTCTGAGGGAAGATGGGACTGATAAAAATACTTTGACACAAAATAAAAATTAAAAACCCCCTCAATCCCTGTAAAACCCTTAAAACCCCTTAAAATGATGAATTCCCCAATTTCTTCTTTAATTCTTGTAATTTTTATTCAAATGAATTTTGACGGATCCAAGGGAGATTTTGGTAATGGAATAAATAATTTACCATTTGGACCTACCGAAGGAGGATTGGAACGTGGAGGATATGAAAGAGGGAGAGGATTTAATGGAGGAAATGAATTCCCTGGAGGAGAAGGATTTGGAAGAGGACAAGAAGAAGGTGGAGGATATGAAAGAGGTGGATTTAATGGAGGGATTGGAAGTGGAGGAGGAAGAGAATTTGGAGGAGAAGAAAAATTTAGAGGAGGACTAAATGAAGAAGAAAATAGAGATGTACCGAACTTTCAAGAAGGTGGACGATTTAAAAGAGGACTAGGAGGCGATGGATTTAATGGAGGTTTTAATGGAAGAGGAGAGAGAAGACGAGGAAATGGTGGAATTGGAAGTGAAGGAACTGAAGAAGAATTTAATAATAAAGGAGGTGAAGGAGGGAACCAAGGAAGAGGATTTGGAGGAGGTCCAATAGGAGGTGAATTTAATCGAGGAAGTTTGGAAGGAGGAAATTTAGGAGGACAGAGAGGACAAATTCCGTCAGGTGCAAGGCCCCAAAGACATGTTGGATTTAATGGGCATCACCATCACGGCAATCACCATCATGGACATCACCACAAAACATCAACTACACCTATAACTACAACTTATTGAAAACTGAATCATTGTGATAAATATATAAAAATTAAATAAATAAATTTCATTTTTTATGAAAAATGCCTATATTTTTGATAAAATATAATTAAAAAAAGATTTTTTGAAAATTAATATTCCTTTAGTTGCGTCTATTTCCGGATTTATAAATTAAAATTCAAATTTTATTTAAATAAGTTTGTCTCATGTTTTACTTGACTGGAATATTTTTATTTTATAAATAAAATATTAAAATTAAACTTTTTATGTAATATCTAAAAAGATAAACAGTTGCAATAATCTTTGTTAAAAACAGCAAGTTAATCCAACAAAAATTAAGTCAAAATTGCAATTTTATTATCATGCATTTTACAAAAATATAGGTTAAGCCTATCAGAAAATTTACCGTATTACTATAAAATAAGCTTTATCTATAAACTTGACATCTATCAAAATAACTATTAAATTTCTTTATTATCCCCTTTTCAAATACAAAGTCCGTATTGGCACTGCAATTGTCCATTAACAACATTACAACCACTACAAACTGGTCCAGGCTCGTAAATTTTTTGTCCCATATAGTTTCCGCTTAATTAAGATTTTTTGCAAATTAAATATAAATCCAAGGAACATACGGTGGACTGTACTGACAGAAAATGTGAGTTTTATATGTACTGTTAGGACAGTAAGCGAGGCCACAACCAACTTTTAAAGTATTTGCCCAGGCCATCTTAATATAAATTTAAATAAAAATTTAATATTATGTAATGGTATTAATGGTGATTTTTATAGTAAGGCATAGCGGCATTGCTAATAAGCCTGGTATGGCAAATTTTGGGAGTAATGAAGGATGGTTTATTTGGAGGTTTTTGGTAAAACAAAGAACGTTAGCAAAATTTTCTCTAGGAATCTATAGATAAGCCAAGACTTAAATTTATGGTTATCGAGGCCAGGATCAGAGATCTGAATCGAAAAGTTGCTTGTGTTGGTAAAGTAGAGGAATGCCTAGGGGGTGTCGGTTCTTAGAAAATTTTTGGATAGCCGGAACCGATATCCGAACCGAAAAATTATCGGCTCTTCGTTTCGGCCCTAGGAATGCCCTTTCATCAAAATTTATTTTAAATTATCACCAACACATTACAAAAATTTTTTTTCAAAATTGATCTACCTGGCTCCAATGCCCAGTTGGATACCAATTCGAACTTGTCAATACTAAATCGCTAGGAGCTCCACTATTCACAAGTTCTGCCCACCAAAGATCACAACAAGTTGATAAGGCGTTTACCACTGAAAGAGGACTTTTATCCGTGATATCTTCTCTCAAACAAATTTTTTACCATTAGTCTCTTGATTGCTAAGAAAACAACCATTCTCCCCATTAGCACTACCGGAATGGGTCATAGTACATTGATTGGTCCATGCCTGGGCACTGGCCTCTAAAGATGCGTCATATTTCTATTTAAATTTTTTAAAATTAAAATTTCTTTGTTAATCCAACCATTGTCCAAATATTTTTGGCTGTAGGCATCATCCCCGTTTTGTTTTGTGATTGGCCACCTGCCAGTTGGGAACGACGCCAATTATGTCTGTCTTGAACAAACTTTTGTTCATTAGCTAACAATGCATGTACTGTAGAATAATAATTTTTAAATTAATTTTTATAATTATTTAAAGCTGGGGGGGTGTCACTAAAGAATTAAAAAAAGAACAAATTCCTTGAATCACAAGTGTTAACTCTGAAAATCCCTTTCGTTATATAACTATAAAATATAAGCCTTCACGTCAAGTATTCATTTTCAAAGATATGTTATTTAAAGACTGGGACGCCAGGGCCCGTATCATAAGAACTCGGTCACCTAACGATGGTTACCTAACCATCGTCACCTAACCATGGTTAGGTAACCACAAGGTAGTGGTAAACCGGTATCATAAGAAAACCACGTGGTTAACCACCGTCGTAAGGTCACCTAACCACCAACCACGTTCTTATGATACCGTTATAAAAATTAAATTTTTTTAATTAATGTTTTTATTCTTTATATTTAATTTTAAAATATTTATCATGTAAATAAAGGAGCAGAGACTACTTAAATGAATTTTAAATATGTATATCCCAAAATATTTCTCTCTTTTTCTATTACCATATATCCTTTAATAACTACCCTGAGTAATTATTGCTCGACCTTCCGCTGGAGGGAGTAATAAATCGAGGGAGGGTAATTATATAAGGTTTGAAATTCCAACGTGTTTTAGGGCATTTGTTTGGGGGTAATTATTGTTTCAATCTATCACTGGATAGGGTAATTAATGGAAGTGGGGTAATTATTTGAGGGAGGGCAATTAATACAAGTTATACGGTACTTTTTTTCCCTTTGCTCTATACTAAGGTTAAAAATTGAATTTTAAAATTTCTTAAAAAATTTTAAAAATAAAATAAAATTCTGAAATAAAATTTTTCTAATATTTTAAACTAATTTCGAGCGAAATTTATAAATTTTAAAAATTTTCACAGTGAAAAAATTCTATGAATTGTTTAAAAAGTCTACCTGTAAATTAGCTATTTTTAGGGAAAAATTTTTGACATCTAAAAAAATTTATTAAAAATTTTAAATAAAGATACATAAAAGAAAGAAATTAAATTTATTAGATATTCTAATCATTTCTTTAAAATGTCTTATACCGTATTTATTCTAATTAAATTGCCTCCCTATTTGAATGGCCCGTCCAATAGAATGACAATTTTTAGAGGTATTGAAAAATAGATCAGCGTTCAGGCTAGAAGAACTGCTGCCAAGAAATAGCCTAAAAATACACTGTCTTTAGCGATCATTTGTTCTAGCCTGAACGCTTATCCGGACAAATTTTTTAGAAGGATGGGTCCTTTCGTATCTTAAAGCAAATTTTATTGGCTATTTGTCGAGTATAAAAGAAAAATTTTGCACCTACTCTAAGGGGTCTAAAATATTTTTTAAGTACTGTACCTCCATTTCCCGTTGAAAACGGAGGCTTGAGATCTCAATGATCTAGATAGTTTTCGACTTCGTTCTCTTTATATTTTATTACTTATTGATAGATAAGTTCACAAAAATTTTTGGGGAATTTTAGATGCACCCTACCTAAGCTTTTTAAAAGTCGAGCTATCATTTTGATGCACATCAAAAACACGAATTGGAACTTTAATAAAATATTCTTAATGAAATTTTTTCTGTTTTGTATGTTTTTGAGCTTGTCTTGTTAGAAGGGATATTAGAAAAAATCTGATATTTTTTATTCGGAAATAAAAATAGAATATAGGGGTGGAGCTATCATTTTGACGCGGAGTGTAAACATTTATAAAAATATCCAAAAAAATTTTCAATGAAAAAAAAAATTGTGAAATTTATGTAGGTTAATAAGGAATCAAGTTAAATATTTGAAAAAATTTTTACAAAAAATTTTTACCCTAGAGAATTCCTTGTCCTTAGGTTGTTGTTTTCAAAAATCTATAGAAAATCTTATTGACGGTAAAAATCTATAAAAATTATATAATTTGACAGAGAATTGTTTAAAATATCCGTAAATTTTTATTTCTTAATTTTATCCAGATTTTATAATTTTTTATAAAAAATTTCCGTCATAACGCAAATTTTTACCCAAGGAAATTACTCAGTTTTAGGGTGACTTTTTATAAAATTCATACAAAATTTTTTTCACGGTCAAAATTCACAAACTTTATATATTTCGATAAAGAATTGTTTAAAATATTAGAAAAATTTTATTTCAGAATTTTATTTTAATTTTAAAATTTTTTATGAAATTTAAAAGCCCATGGTTACTTTTTTCAACCCTGCTATCGACCATGGTAGCTTTTTTGACGACGTGGTTATGGTTACCTAACCAGCAACCACCATCTTATGATACCGGTTGATTTTAACCGCCGGTTGCTGGTTAGGTAACCAGGTCACCTAACCACAAGGTCATGGTTAACCTTACGACCGTCTTATGATACCGGTTAAAACCGCCGGTTGGTGGTTACCTAACCAGCAACCGAGTTCTTATGATACGGGCCCAGATGGGAGGATACGGCCCTCTTGTAGCACCAAGTTGGACAATAGGGCATAATTCCAATCCACCCCCATAACCAAATTTTGATCGTAAAAAGGAGAAAGAGAAAAAGGCTCATTGGGACCTAAAATACTTAATCGAGCCCTTTCTGTTCCGACAATCCTCTATGAAATTAGTCAATCCTCTATGAACCCTACATAGATTAAAAATTAAACTACCAGGCTTTATAAGCTTATTTTTAGTTCCAATTTCAGCAATAACTACCACAAATAAAAAATAATTTAAAAAATTCATGCTTTATTTTAATAAATTATTTAAATGTTTTTAATAATTTAGAAATATTTTTTAAATAAATTTTTAGTTTGAGTACATTCTCAGTTTTAATGCATTTTTATAGCCATCTTTTTAATTCTTCCTGGATTTAATTTTTTGAATATTTGTTTAATTTAAATTTTATTAAAAACAAAAAGTACACAAAAATATTATTTAAATTTATTTAAATGTCTGGAAAAATATTTTTAAAATATATTTAGAACACAGGAATATTCCGTTAAGAATTTACATAAATATAAATTTAAATAAATTTTAATTTAAAAAACCGGGAATAAACTTAAAAAGGGGAACTTGAATTTTAAAATAAATGTTTGAATAAATTGGGTAATTCAACTATATAATCCTTAATATCACCCTTAATTTCGCCAAATCGGGTCCAATCCATTTATGTGTTTAAAAATATTTTCCAGACATTTAAATAAATTTAAATAATATTTTTGTGTACTTTTTGTTTTTAAATAAAATTTAAATTAATCAAATATTTAAAAAATTAAATCCAGGAAGAATTTAAATGAGGACTATAAAAAGTGCAGTAAAACTGAGAATGTACCAAACTAAAAATTTATTTAAAAAATATTTCTAAATTATTAAAAACATTTTTATAATTTATTAAAATAAAGGATGAATTTTTTAAATTATATTTT